ACACTACACATACCACATATACACCATACACACACCACACACACACACCACACCATACACACACCACACATATACCACACACACACACACACACACACACACACACACACACACACACCAGTCCCCTTCCCTCCCACATACGCAAACGAAGAAGAACATACTTCACAGATGGTACTTGCCTTTCCTCTCTGTCGTCCATACCTCCTTCTAAATACAGCAGCTGTGTTGCTGAGGAAAAAGTATAAAATTAGAAGTCGAGAAATTAATCTTCTAGTCCTGGTTCAACCAGTAATGTGCCTGTGTGATATGGGACAAGCCGCTCGGCATCTCTGAACTTCACTTTCCATCACTAGAAAATGCACGTCATGAATTAAACCACTCCCAAAGGCACCTTCTATCTCTGAGTGTGAGCATTGATTGTCATCGCTGCCCTTACGTAGCTGCCATGCGCCAGGAAGGTAGCTCAGCAATGCCCGTGTATCAGTAGAGTCAGGATTGTCCTTATTTTGGTAGTGAAGAAAATGAAGCGTAGTAAGGTATTCCAGATTGCACAGCTAATGAAAATATTCCTTTAACAATTGATGTAAAGCCCCAGGGTTTCTGGTTATTTATGAAACAGGTAAAATCAAACCTCGCTTCAGGTACTAGACCAGATCTAAACAACTGCCAAGCTTGGGAACCAACCAAAGTGGGACCCCACAGAGGACAGAATCTCATTGCAGGATGTCACGAGGGATTTGAAATGGTTGTTCCTGGGGCTTTCAGTCAAGGAGCGAGAGGGCGCGGGGCTAGAGGCTCAGAAACCAGGCAGGCAGAAAGCTTTAGGCAAATGAGCAACCAGTCCACAGTGCGGGGTCAGCATATGCTGTCAAGCACAGATTCGTCCAGAGAGACAAGCTAAATAGATCACACCACTATGGGGGAAGTAGGAGTGGGGTGAGGGATGCCCTTGCTGCCTGTTGTTTGTCCTGGGGACACAGATTTAAGTCTGACTAGCACTTAGGGGACTCTAAAAGAAACATCAAAGCATAGCACTCATGGCCTGGAATCAAGAGCTGGGCTAAGGAGCAGTGGTTACGCTGTATATAAGTTGCCCATTTAGTGGCAATTTACCCCCAATTTTTTTTTTTTTTTGATTTTTCGAGACAGGGTTTCTCTGTAGCTTTGGTGCCTGTCCTGGAACTAGCTCTTGTAGACCAGGCTGGCCTCAAACTCACAGAGATCCACCTGCCTCTGCCTCCCGAGTGCTGGGATTAAAGGCGTGAGCCTTTACCCAAAATTTAATTGCTTGAAATAGCATAGGTGTAATATTTCATAGTTTGTGGCTTCTCTGGGCTTGTGCAGGTTCCTCACAATGGCAGCTGGGTTCAGTCACATGGCTGCATTTAGTTGAGAACTCAGCATAGGCTACACCATAAAGGTGGCTTCACTCAAACATCTGGCAATTAGTGCTGTCTCTCAGATGGGCCACGTCAGTTTTCTGCCGCATGGCCTCCATCTCCATGTGGGCATTCTGACACGGGAGGCAGCTTCTGAGGGGAAACACATGAATCAGGCCAGTAACCAAAGATTCAACTGCTTCTTCTTTCTACTGTCAACGAACAATCTGAAACTCAAGTTTACACAAAACGAGTACAACCGACAGCTCAAAAGCCTGGAATCCTCAGGTAGAAACTGGAAGCTCTAAGATGGTGCTGAAAGAACTAAATGAACGTCTATACCACGTTCAAAGGCACGGTATGAATTGTCCTCAACCGATCTGTAGATTTACGGACATCTAAACAATAGGAAGAGATCACACCTCACAGACACTTACAAATCCATTCTGAAAAATAAAAAAGTAAGGAAAATATCCAAACTAACTTTGAGGTGGTACTTAAATGAGAGCTTAAATGAACTCTGACAGCCCATACCATGAGACAACACTGAACAATAAAAACGAGCCATAGGGTAAAATGCACAACAATCTGAATGAGTCTCAAAGGCACTCATTCCAAATGAAGGAAGATCGACTCATATTTTATGTACTCTATGACTCCATTTATCACGCTTTCATAGGCAAAAATAAAATCAATACTATGTAACACTGGGTATAGCATACAGAATAGAGAGGAACACACATGGCCAATTGATGTTGACAAGGGTGCAAGGGCAGTTGCATAGAAAAAAGTGGACTTTCTGGCAAATGGGCAAGCACATTTTTTAAAAGTGAACCTTGACCTATGACTTACTCCTCATGCAAACTTTAATAAAATGGCCGATATACTCAAAGGTAAAAAAATAAAATTGCAAAGCTCTTAGAGAGGAAAAACATAGGTGAAAAGATTTGTGACTGTGGATTATGCAAAGAATTTTAATACAACAAAAACATTAAAGATAAATACTAAGTTGGATTTTAAATTTTGTTTGCTCTATAAAAGATATCCTGTTCTTGGAAGGAAAATCTATAGGGACACAAGGTAAGTCAACAGTTTCCAGGGGCTGTGGGCCGGCAGAGGGTTTCACTACAACAGAGGTAACATATGGGTGTTTGAGGAAGTAAGATGGTCATTTATATTCTGGTTGTGTTTGTAGGTTAGCAACCCAATTTATTTGTCCCAAATCACAAAGCTATAAATACAGTAAAATATAAGTTTTACTGTATTGAAATTTAACTATATAACAAATACAAAGCCAGACTTGGCTACACAAACAAAACCCCACCTGAGAAACACACACACACACACACACACACACACACGAGAGAGAGAGAGAGAGAGAGAGAGAGAGAGAGAGAGAGAGTGAGAGAGAAAGAGACTTGAAAATAAATAGCAAAAGTTAATAACAACATCAAAAAGCTAGTTAATAGTCCTTCAATCCACCATGGAGAAGATACCAAGTATTGCGATAGCAAGCAAATATTTATATTCAACCTACCCATTAATTGAAATCTGACAAATTTTATATATTTAAACTTTGTAAACAATCCAGATACTAAAAAGTGGGCATAGTTGATCACAATGGGTAGAACAGTCTTTTTGGAAAGCAACATGGCACTAGGTCTCAAAAACTTAAGTGTTCTTACTCCTTGGAAAAGAAAAGCCATTTGGATGAGCCAATTCTCATGATACAATCAGAGATGCTGATGAGAGTCATTGTCTTTTCTGCACAGCGATGCTGTCTCTCTCATCAGTAGGATGGATGTGCAGTGAGTCCAAAATAAATGCTAGCAACTATCTTGATGGCGCTGACTTTCCTGAAACATCTGCTTCCATCCAGGAACTTGGTAGAGAGAAGCGGCTACCTCCTGGGCTCATTGGATCAGGATGTTGCCTTCTGTGTTGTGGTATTGAAGACAAAAATGATGGTTATATCCTAATGTGTTAGCAAATGACACTTTGTCACACCAGTGGAACAAATAGGCATTCCTCAGCCATACTGAACCCTTTGTGAAAGCTGAACGAGGGAGACCAGATGGAAGGCAATCAAAGAGGGAAGGGACTCAGATCCAGAGACCACCAGGGAATTCATGATGAGAAGCCATTATGTCTGAGCCCAGACTGTGAAGGAAGAGTCAAGACAAAAGCTGACTTTGGGAAAAGCCAAGCATGCCGAGGACAGAAGTCATACTTGGCATGGCTCAGCCAGCACTGAGGAGAGAGAAGAAACATCTTGCTCCTCAGACAGAAGAAAGAGCCTTAGCTGAGAAGCACTGGGTGCTTGCTTTTGAAGCATAGAGGAAGCCTGGATTTGAAGATGAGTGAGAAACCGCAACATGAGACATGGATGCACCAGAGATGCACACTAATACCTAAAAAGACAACTGTTTCTGAATCTTGGCTAATGTACATTTACCACTGGCTCCATATTATCTGTACTTCTTAACTCTACATTACAGTTTTAAATGAGTTACACAAACACAAAACCTTAAAAAGAGCAGAAATACAGATACACAGTGCAACAAAACTGACTTTAAATTTGTATCAAGAGACCAAGATTTATACCAATGCAAAATATCCATCTCTATATCATTTCTCCCTAATTTTTTTTAAGAAATTGACTAAGACCATTAGTCACTTATAATCAACTTTCTTTAAATGAAAACAAACATTTATAAACAATCATTTTGAGAATTTGAGCATAGTTTTCTCCAAACTTCTTCCTGCTTTTTGTTGGGCAAAGTGTTTGTAGGGTTCTTGGAGAACTTTCAGGGGGTCTTGTTCCATCACTCCACATCAGCCTGGAAGAAATCCACAGGTTCCAATCCTCTGGAGAAACAAAAGCAGAACTACTTTTCCAAAGTAACATATCCTTAGACTCAAAGTTTGAAGTCAAGATACCTTTATGTTGGTCTAACTTATCAGCCTATAACTCAGGATTCTTATTAACTAACTTTTACATCTTAAATTGGCCCATTTCTTCTAATCTGTGTATTGCCACGAAGCTATGGCTTACTGGAAAGGTTCCAGATCCTTCTCCTTTGGCAACTACATGGTGTCTCTCTGACTCCGCCTACTCTCTCTATATATATCTCTTCCAGCCTGTTGTAGACCAAAGTAGCTTTATTCATTAACCAATAGGACATCCCATATCAACACACACTTGTAAACTTGTGCACACACAGGTACACATATACATATATACATACTTTAGAGAAGGAACAAACAGGGAGGAAGGAAGGGAGGAAGGGAGGAAGGAAGGAAGGGAGGGAAGGAGGGAGGGAGGGAGGGAGGGAGGGAGGGAGGGAGGGAGGAAGGAAGGAAAGAAGGAAGGATGCATTTCTTTAGGCTGGAGGACACATGATTCTACATACTGACCCTATGACCAGTGACCACTGCTAAAAAAGATTGGGCGAGCACAGGATTGACATATTCTGTAGACACTGTACCAAGGGCTCTACATGCATTATGAGTCATTGCAATTTCACCCCCACAGCAATTCTAGAAACAAGTACTGGTGTTGTGATTAGCATTCCCATTTTACACTTGGGGAATTGAGCACTTGAAATACTAAGTAATGTTCCTGCAATAATGGAGTTAATAAGAAAACCAAAAACGTAGCTTTGAACTCATTTATTTAGCAAGTACTGTGTTAACATAATCCCAGCAATGTACTGTGTATGCTGTCTGACATATAGGCTATGGCTGACCCAGTCTCTGCCCCCAAGACACCCCTTGTCTAGAGGAGGTAAACCGCAGGCCTCCGCAGCTGCCCCAGTTGGCCATAAAGCCAACATTCAATCCATATTTTCTACCCCAAAGATCAGGGACAGAGACACAGCACTTTCTGTCACTCCGTTATTGAAAGCGATCCCTCTGTGGGCGTTGTGACATTATGGAAGTTCATAGGCTGAGGTAAAGCTGCGAATCTGCATTGCCAACTGTTGGCGTTAAGTAGATGGCATGTAGAGACCTGGAGGCCATGACTTGAAGTACGGGACCATGGGACTTAGAAAGCCTAGCCCCAGTGCTCTTTCTCTGTAAGACTGCTTGTTACAACCACTTGCCTCCGATCATCAGGGTCAGCCTACCAGTCCCTCCCAGTCCTCTACATCATTTATTCTTCCTGACTATTATAGTGCTTGCTGATAGTGAAAGAGAAACTGAGGCAGGAACTAAGTTGCCAGCCAGCAGGAAAGTTGTTAACTGGGATAGTCCAGAGAGGTACGCTGTGAGAATCGAGTCAGGTCACACCTAGAAAACAGAAGCCCCGTAGGACATAGTGTGGCCCCTGCAGGAGGTGGTGTGTCTAATTCTTCTCTGAGCTCAGAATATCTAAGAGCCAGGAATCCAGGGTGGGTCAGGAAGTTTATGGCTGTCTGTTCTATAAGAAGTCCAGGGAATTTGTTGTGTCTGATGAGAGCCAGCAGTTCGGGATCAAAGGAAGCGAAAGCTAACATCCAGGAAGTCTGAGAGAGCAAGATAATGGCACCCACCCTCCCCACCACGGAGAGCCGGGTCCTGAGGCAGGGGTGGTGGGAAGTGGGATTTCTTTCATGTCTTCTCCCAGGAGGTGAGTGGTCCTTAGCGAGGTGGGATGGCATAGGCTGGCAACTCCACAGCTGGGAAGAGAAAGTTAGGAGTGTCCCTTCCCAGCTTCAGGTTTGCAGCTTGAAACAGGTCAGGGCTCAAACGCTTTTACACCGTGGAAACTGGAAATGACTATAGATCAGGGACCATTTGCTAAGTTGCCCGAGCATCTGGTTGTTAAATATTTACCAGCACACCTCTGGCAGGGCTGATTGCAAAACTAAAGCAATGGGAAGACTGTTCTTGGTTAATGAAAGGGGCGGGGATCGCAAATAGGTACTGGGGCTGAGGCAAATCATGGAAAAAGGCCTGTGCCCTGAGCTAACCGAAGATGGAGCAAAAGATAAACTTAACTAAGCCCTGGGGACCTCCTGCTCACAGTCGAAATTACACAGGCATCTGTCTTTCAAACTCTAAATCAGAGACCCATTTACTAAAAGTGGGATCTCTCTATCAGAAGCCAGGTCGGCAATTAGACCACAGAGATGACAACAAGATAGGCCTCTTCCTACCCCAGCGGAATTTACTGGGTTTTATAGGAGTCCAACAAGTTACAGTAGCCCGAGGGCCAAACAGACCTTGTGGCTATTTTAGTAAATTCCTCAAGCTAAGGATTGATTTTTTCATATTTTTAAAATAATTCTTAAGTTCTTTGACATTCTTATACTTGAATAAAATGTTTTTTCCTACTTTTTGTGTCTGTTTTAGTTCTTCATTTTTGTTGTTGTTGTTGTTTAGTTTTGGGTTTTCGAAACAGAGTTTCTCTGTGTAGCTTAGCTGTCCTGGAACTTACTCTGTAGACTAGGCTAGCCTCAAACTCAGAGAGATCTGCCTGCCTCTCCCTCACTGCGTGTTCAGATAAAAGGCGTGTGCTACCACTGCCTGACAGTTCTTCATGTTTTTAAAGGATTTTTTTTTATATGCATTAGTATTTTACCTGAGTGTATGTCTGTGTGAGAGTGTCAGTTTTGTTCTTTTAAAAAGAATATGATGATGGGATGTCCCGGGCAGCTTGCGGAGTCCGACAAGGATGGCCGTGAGTCCCTGCAGCGCCATGTGGCCGGGGGAGTCAGGCGGGCGGTTACGGCGGATAAAAGGCTCATAGGACATAGTATATAAACATAAGGGTAAACATTTATTACTTAAAAAGAAATAGAAAAACAGAGAGACAGAGATAGACAAATATAAAGACATAAAGACACAGAGACAGAGAGAAACGTGTGCACACGACAGGAGACAACCACACAAGAGAGAGAGAAAGATGGCGAAGACGGAGGAGGTCAGAAGTGGCTGGGTGGGCGTGGTTAGTTCTTAAAGTGGCAGCAGAAGACTAAGTCAGATCTTGGAGTAGCAGACAGTTGTGAGCTGTCGTGTGGGTACTGGGAATTAAACCCAGGTCCTCTGAAAGAACAGTCAGGCTCTTAACAGCTGAGCCACCTCTCTAGAACCTTGAAGTATTTCAGAAGTTTAAAGGGGGAAGAAGAAAAGAAGGAGGAGATGGAAGAGGATAAATGACAGAGCCTAAGACATTTAGTATCTGGCCATTACAAAGAAAGTTTGCCAAATCTTTCTCTAGCAAACCAGACCTTATTAAAGAAAGGCCTAATTGGGCTTGGCAATGCACACCTCTAATCCCAGCACTCTGGAGGTAGAGACAGACGGATCTCTGAATTTGAGGCCAGCCTGGTCTATGAAGTAAGTTGCAGGAAAGGAAGAGCTATGTAGAAAGACCCTGTCTCAAACAAATAAAACAAAGCAAACAACAAAGAGAGAGACAGACAGACAGACAGAGACAGACACAGAGACACAGAGAGAGACACACACACACAGAGAGAGAGGCAGAGAGAGACAGCCACACCAAGTGACCATCAAAAGGGAAAGGTTTCTGTCCAGACTAAAGAGAGACCGGGAAGTAGGTAAGGGGATACTAATATTGCCAAGAAACAGGACTGCAAGCTTCCAGGGTATAGTTCAGTTAGTAATTAGAAACATACATTGCCAAAATTTGACTGCTGGGCCATGATAAAACTGACACCTGTGAGTCAGATTTTGGACCAGGAACACAGAAGGGAACACAGTCAAAAGATGCTTCCTGGAGTCAGTCTCAGGGTAGAGACCAATAACAACACCAGCACTTCCAGAACGCCTGTTCTGTCCCACATGCTGTTCAAGGGCATACACATCAACACATCCGTCCTCTAGCCTCAGGGGGATGGCCCTGTTAGCAGTGATGGATGAGGAAGAGAGGCACAGAGCAGTAAAGTGAACTGCTGCAGCCACCCAGCTAGAGATATGAAGAGCCAGAACAATGGTTCCGCTTTGTAATCCTAGAACTCAAAAGGATGCGGCTGGAGATTGCCCTGAGCGTAAGGGCAGCCTGGGCTACTCGCTGAGTTCTAGGCCAGCCTGAGCCGTGGAATGAGAATCCATCTCAGAAGATCGACAGCAAAAGCAAACGAACAAAGTAGTCTGAGTTCAGGAGCCGTGTTCTTAACTAGTAGGTTTTCAGAGTCTTTGTGTGTGTGTCTGCCTCTCTTTCTATGTCTCCCTCCTCCTCACCCCCGCCCCTTTCTCTCAGAATGGCCAGGGAAACAGATGAGAGAAGAGGACAGGAAAGTGTGTTGACTATACCCCAGTTCAAAGGAGAGACAGAGGAAAGCTGCATTCAAGCCCCAGTTAGGTATGTGGGTGAGTGCTCCCCAAGTCAAGCACGTGTGTGAGTCCTTCCCCAGCCACAGGACAAAGCCTCTGTCTGAGCTGCCTCTGCTAGGAGCTACAGGTACTAAATGGAGTCACACCATATATAAGGAGTAAATAGGCCATGTTAATACGGTCTGCATTAGACCTCCAGAGCTCATCCGGGGATCAGTGGAGCAGCTCTACCCAGGAGGGGACTGACCTGTTGAGTGTGGAGCCAGGTGCCAGGAAGGGATGAGAGCTCTGACTGCCTGGCCTCACTTGGACGGATCACTCCCTGGATAGTAACAAAAAAAGAGATATATCAGAAGAAAGTCCAGTGGATTGCTGGAGAGCCCAGCAAACAATACAAAAGAGAAGGGGGGCAGGGCAGAAATCCTAAATGAAATGCAAGCTGCTAGTAGAGAAGGCAATAGCAAACAGACGGGGACCCTGCAGGAGGGAGGGTGAGCAAGCAGAAATAGAACAGGAGACATCTTTCTTGGACCCTGGACCACCACCTTCCTTACCTCTAAACTCCCCTGCCTCATCTTATACCGCTCATTCTCCACCTGCCTCAGGAAGGTACAATTACCTGACATTGGTACCCCTGGTGCTGGGCTTGGAGGGTACCCCTCCAGAGCTGAGCATTTTAGGCTAAGGCTTCCCCACCAAGCCACTGACCTACAGATGAGCTCACAACCTCGACTAAATGAAACAGACAGTGTCACACTCTTTGGCTTGTGGGGTTTTTTTTCCCCCAGAAACGTTCCATCCACAGCTTTAGGCTGCTGGGGACCCGATGGCCTCGGTGACTTCACTATTCTCCCTCTGGGAATGGAGGTGACTCAGCAACTCCTTTCAGGCCAAGAAGAGAGAGAGAGAGAGAGAGTTCGTGTCAATCAGCAGTTCTCGGCAGAGCAGAGAAACGTAAAGGCTGTCTGGTGTCTGGACAGAGCTAGATGCACCAGGGGCAATGGAGCAGGAGCCCATGAAGGCTTTCCATGTTGCAGACTAGTCCAACAAGTTTCAGCTTCCTCCCTCCAGAGATACTCTCCAAAAAGACTCCATGTTGTAGCATAGGAGGAGTGGTATCCCCCACCAAGGGTCGCCCTGCTTCCAAACACTAGGATTTGTACTCCTGGAGTGAGCATCTCTCCTGTACTAATGTCAGAGTGTTATTGAACCCCCATGGGATCGTTCACCCTAAGTCCCCTCCTGCTAGGAACCTCTCACCACCCCATCCACATGGCATGACTTTTGTGCCCTAGTATCCCACTACCTTATATTTGAATAGAGAAGGTTAGGCACCTGACTCAAGGCCGGCCAGCCAGAGCCCTTCCTCAGAGACCTCCCAACTGGAATTAGACTCAGTATCATTCAGGAAAAGGAAGTTGAAAGATGCAAACGTCAAGATGTTTTCAGTAACTGATATTCAGCCCTGGGAAGGAAGGCTGTCTGCAGTTAGAGAAAGTAAACATGCAGAAACCAAGCAGAGATTATTAACGGAGAAAAGGGCTCACAGTGGAGGTCAAGTAGCAGCTACGTTGCAGTCTCGCAACCTGGTCATTCAGTTGTTCGTTGGTAAATTTGAGGGCTCGTATCTTCTTTTGTTGACTTATTTTTTTTTCCTAACTGGCTTCCATTTTTAGTTTCATCTGGTTATAAACAAAAAATCCACCTGTACCACTGCTAATGTTTAATAAAACAGTTCTTCCAAATGACCCAAGAGAACGTCTGGCTTTGCTGTCACACTCAGGATATGCTTAAAGAGAATGTCCCGGTGGTCTGGCAGTCTGTCTCCAGCCCAGACAGACTCCATAACGTCTGTTAGGGCTTAGATCTGCATGTACACCACAGTCTTATGTCTTGCGTGATTAGTACCCAGTTTGTGGTGCTATTTTGTAGCACCTTCAGAAGGTGTGTATGACAGGGATGGGCCTTTGAACGCTATTCAATTTGCTTTCTCTGCTTCTTTGCTGGGGTATGAACAAGCAGTTGCCCCATGCTCCTGTTCCCATGCTTCTACCGCCTGGTGGGCTAAAGCCACTGTGCACGCATGAACCAAACCGACGCCCGCCTCTCTTACATTGTTCCTGGTAAACAACTTAAAAGCAGCCCTGAGCCCAACAGGAAACTATACCAAGTCCAAACTCCATCGCCATCTCTCAGTCTTCCGTGCACCTGGCTGGTTTATGATCTCAAATCTGCAGGAATCCAAACCATCCAGCCAGCACCCTCAGTTCGCTTCAGTCAGTCAACATGAACTGAAAACTCAGGTAAGCACAAGGAACCGCTGAATGTTGTCGCAAAGACTGGAGCCACCGCAGGACATCAGAAATGGGGGACAGCAGTGTGGTAAAAGAACTGCCTTGAGTTAGAAAAAGAGATAAAGACATTCCAACACAGAAAACAACGACAACAAGACAAGGCTACTGAGACAAGAAAGGGTGACCTCACCATCCCTGGCCAACATAGTCTCTACTTCGTAAAGAATAAAACGCTGGTGTGGCCTTGAGTCCTTTGCCATTAGCAGTGTCAATTTAAAAGTTAATTGTGTTTAGTACAGAAAGTTTGAAAATAACAGACAAAGAAAAAGGGAAAGTTCCTCCCAATCTTGAATACAAAAATCTGTATGCGTATTTCAAAATAACTTATAGCGTATGAACACTAAAAGTATTTATATTGCAAAAATACTGTCCTTTGTATTTATCAATGCATTAGGTTTCTTTTGAGTGATTAACTCTCCTATGATATTTAAAGTATTATTTCATTCATTGAAAATTGAATTTATATGTTTCTTTCTTAGACTTTTATCCTGTAGCTCAAATAAGCATCTTCCTATGTCTGTCCTGTGTATCAGATATTTAGTCTCAAGCACTTATGTTTAGAAAACAATCACATTCTTTAAGGAAATTAAAGGTTTCTAGATGTTCTACAGCAAATTGATAAACTAAATGAACATTACTCCAAGAAATGCCTTTTAATGAAAATACATTAGCTCTATACAGTTCTAACTGAAACATGTATTCTAAGAGACAGCTTAGTTGGCCAAGCACTTGCCACACAAGCATGGGGACCCACATTAAAAAGCTAGGTATCATGACCGATGCTTGTAATCTTTTGTTAGGGAAGCAGAAGTGAGCAGTTCCTTGAAACTAGCCTACTCTGCAAGCTCCAGGTCAGCGAAAGAAGTCTCAAAAAGCAAGGTTAAAAACCCCCGAAAAACAACGCCAGAGGTTGACCTCAGTTTTTACGTGCTCTCCCACACATATGGGCACACAACACACAGTAGATTCATTCAGAAGCAGGGTATTCGAAGTTCCATGCTAGAATAATATCCTACACCCATAGAAAACAACCCCATTATTCTATGAGATTAGTATTGGCCATATGGTCAGTGTGTATATGGTCAGTATGCAAGAGCCCAGAATCTAAGCATCTGGGTGTGTGACTATTAAAGTGCCTCTCAGCCTTAAACCCTCGACTTTAGCTGAGAGCATTGAATATGTGTACACACACATACACATACACACACACACACACATATTTATCCATTTTTTTAATTAATCACCAATTGACTGTCATATTCTAGGTTTTTTTTTAATTTCTTTGCATGAAATAAAGGGTCTTTATATATGACCAGGACCATCTGACGCTAGATCACCTTGGTGTTCCACCCTAAAACGACATTCTCACGTCCCCCGCTGCTCCCACTTCCACGGCTCGGCTCGCAGAGGGCCTCTGTTCTTGCTCTGTGTGGAGGAAGAAACAGTGTAAGCAAACACAATCTTCAAGAGTCGCTCACACGTGCACACAGATCACGCGCTGAGCAGCTGGAAACCAAAGGAAGTGGGTGAAAGGGGATGCTGTTTTGCTGAACGGGTGCCGGAGGTTGGCTTACAAATCCACAGGGAAGACCAGGCTCCACGAATGCTCTCACTTAAAGTCTCCTCACACACCTCGCACACAGCAGCTCACCGCCAACTCCCCAGCTAGTTTCCTCTGAAAACCTAGATGCAAAGGAAGTCTGGGTTTGGGCAGTTGTGGCCATGCTTGCTTTCCTCAGGAAAGCAAATGTGGTTCAGTTCTTTTTCTCCCCCCACCAAAAAACCCAAAAAGGGTTCAGTGAGAAAAAGACCCTTCCTCCATAAGAAAAGGAAGGAAAGAAAGTCTCCTCAGATCTTCCAGAGGAGCCTCAAGCCCCACACACTTGGTCCTTGATCCCGAGAGTCTTGTTCTGTGCTCTTCAGAGCACAAAAAGAACTAACTGCATGCTCTTCTTTCTCCCCAGTTGTTAAATAAAGACACTAGGAAGCTAAACACAATTTATTTTTTATCTGGAATGCTTCTCAACTAGGAATAATATATCCTTGAGTGGTCCCTTCCTCAGGTGACTAGTCTTCTACCCACTCTCCCAGCAAACTATCAGTGAAGGGCTGGAGAGATGGCACAGCTGGCCTAGTTGAGTTTGATCCCTCGGTACCCATGTCAAAATTGGGTAGAGCGATGCACCAGGGCTGGGGAGAGAGAGTCAGGAGGAACCCTAGGGCTAGCTGGCCAGAAAACCGAAGGTAGAGAACAATTAAGGAAGGACACGCAACATCTAATTCTGTTCCCTACATGCGCACACAAATATCACAAAGACCAACGAATCCTGAACCTAATCAAATCGGAGAAAAGCACAGAGCTGATTCCTGCCTGTCCCAAATAAGGACCAAAGGGGGAATGAGACTCAGAACCTTGTTTACTAAGAGTGTGGGTCACACCAACAGCACCCACCTCACCCAGGAGCTGATTAGTGGTGGAGACTCTCAGTCCATCTCAGACTTGTTGAATGAACAACAGTCTAACAGGGCCTCGAGAGAAGTGAGCGTGCAATGGGGCTCTGAGTACCTAAAAATCTAAGGCGTAAGGCCAGGAGGGTGATTGGCAGCTGGGTCTGGGAATCAGCAGAGTTAGTGGGTAGGGAGGGCTGGAAAGAAGCAGAGGGGAACTCAGGAAAACAAGGACACAAAGATGAGGATGGTGGTGCATTAATTAATGTGAGTCATTAGTTGTTTCTGGGAAGGAGAGATAGAAAGTCACCTTGGGAGGCAGGTGGGAGGAAGACGGACAGTGCTTCAGCACCTGGAGGTCGGTTAGTCCTGTGCAGGTTAACCCTGCTTCAGCTCCTGGAGGTCGGTTAGTCCTGTGCAGGTTAACCCTGCTTCAGCACCTGGAGGTCAGTTAGCCCTGTGCAGGTTAACCCTGCTTCAGCTCCTGGAGGTCGGTTAGTCCTGTGCAGGTTAACCCTGCTTCAGCTCCTGGAGGTCAGTTAGTCCTGTGCAGGTTAACCCTGCTTCAGCAGCAGGATGTAGGTTAGCTCTGTAATTCCCCTGTTCTCCCCGGCTCAAGCCTTTGCCTGCTGCTCTCCTGTTTTGTTCAGAAAACTGAAACCCATCCCTTCCCCTGGACTGACCTGGCGTGTCCCAGCAGCTCGAGGATCGCCAGAGTACCAACAGGTAAAGGCTAGCAGGCACGGGAATACAGAGCCCTGAGTGCCCTAAGAACGGCCTCTGATCAGGAATGAACAGGCAGAGGGGACAGCTGGCAGTTTAATGGCTGCAGACGGAGGACCTGGACTTCCAAACAAAAAGTTAATGAAATGGAGAAAAGTAAGGAGTTGCCAATAAAATGTCTTGCTCTAAGGACAATGAGAAACACCAGTTATTAAGTATTCTGTTCTGTGGTTTCCCAAATCAGAAAAAGGGAATGACCCTGACCCACTGTATAGACTGTATCTGTAAAGATTCCGGAGTAACAAGGCCCTCTAAGAGCAGTGCCTCACCTTCCCCGATCCGCCTAACAGTTACTTCCCAGAACTAAACAATAGCCTGTATTATAATGCAGGAGTTGGAGGCCTGGTTTGCCGAGTGTCGGCCTGGGGTGCGGCATCCGGCCTCCAAGCAGGACTCTAGTTATTCCCACCTCCTGGTATTCGCTCTTGTGAAATCTCCTCCCACTGGCTTCACCTGGGTGCGCTACAGCTCCTGGCTAAGGTGATAAGAAGTCGCTCCGGAGCTGAGGTCCCAGGGAGCTCTGAGGAAACCAGCTGCTGTGGTGTAAACTGCCCTGCTGGGAGGCCTGCCACCGTCAGCCAAGTGAGGGACTTAAGAAATAAGCTCGGTCGCCCAAGTCTAGCTGTGATATCACGGCAGCTTCTGCCAACAGCTTCCCAGCAACCTCGTGAGTGGTTCTGAGTTGGAGAAGCCCAGGTAAAGCTTTCCCGGACTCCCGTCCTAGAGCAAATGCGTGCGATAATAAACTCTTGTTTTAGGCTGCTTACTTTGGAGGTCAGTTGTTATGCAGCGATAAATATTTAAATCACTCGGCTTAGTGGAATGTACGCACCACCGTGGGGAAGGGGAAGAAGGCAACCATAATATGCTTGGCATTGTTCCATGGGTACCAAGGGCAGAACAACACTCCTGGGAAGAGTTCAAGTTACAAGCAACGCTGCTCGGCACAGCCGGCTTCATCAGGGCCCAGGGAATACGTGCCCTGCTCCGCATCACTCCGTATTAGTCACCACGCTGATTTTTCAGACCGTGCCTTGCCCCGATAGGCTCCTTTGCCCAAGCAGCTTTGGACTCCATTTTGAAGGTGCAGGATGACTGTGCTCCTAGGTAGACAAGTGAACCATACCACAAATAGCACACAGACTGAAAAATGACTTATTCCTGGAAATGAGAACGGTGTCAACGTATGCATTTATTGGTGTGAGTTCAGAGGGTTAGAGTACAGGTTAGATGTACTAAAATCATGTCAGGAAAATCAGCCCCAAGACATTATGGAGTGCACCAGACCAAGGAAAGGGCATACAGATCTCCTTCACCCAGACTCTACAACGAGGTTGCAATGGCCATGTTCCCCAAACCTGTCATCTGACCACCTGGTTTCTACATCAAGGGAAGAATTCCTGCCAGTTCCAGGGGCTTCAGCTCCGCCCAGCCTCTGTGTTGATGTGCGGCCACTCAACTGCTGTCTGTCTGTCTCATCTGGGCCTGCTGTGCATCCATCTGTGCCTTGCTTAGTCCGAACTCAGTTCTGCCTCTTTCTGCCCTGTCTGTAGCTAGACTCTCTCTGCAGCTTCTCTCCTGGGCCTGTGGCCTGCAGCAGGCCCACTCTCACAGTAGCTGTAGCTCCAGCTTAATCTGGGCTCCTTCTCTTATCAACACAAAGACTTTTGAACCTCCATGAGTTTCCCTGATTTGAATTTCTCAGGTCTCCTTAAAACTCCTAGTCTCTTAACCTCTCTGTAACCTACATATATACATGGAGAAATATGTGTTTACTGTGTAGTAGATCATGTGTGATCTGAATTAATATTAGTATCTAAGATTGGAATAAAAGAAACTGTTCAACAGGTGGTGGTGGCACACGCCTTTAATCCCAGCACTTGGGAGGCAGAGGCAGACAGATCTCTGTGAGTTCGAGACCACCCTGGTTTACAAGAGCTAGTTCCAGGACAGGCTCTGAAATTACAGAGAAACTCTGTCTCAAAAAAATCAAAAAAAAAAAAAAAAAAAAAAAAAAAAAAAAAGAAAGAAAGAAAGAAAGAAAGAAAGAAAGAAAGAAAGAAAGGAAGAAAAGAAACTGTCTGTTGCCTCAGCCAAGGTTACCAAGGTAAGCAGGAGTATCTGTAAGCTTACAGATATGAATTTGTTGCCATTTCGGTTTATTCTGACATTATAGAAAGAACTAACATACTTGTTTATGTTTATGACATAATATATTCATACCAGCCCTCCTGTGACGTATAGAGAGTGCTCCCCACACAGCCCCTGATGCCAGTCCTCCTCTGTGACACACAGAGAGTGCTCCCCGCACAGCCCTGATGCCAGCTCTCCTCTCTGACACATAGAGAGTGCTCACCGCAGAGCACTGCCAGCCCTCCTCTGTGACACACAGAGAGTGCTCCCCGCACAGCCCCTGATGTCAGCCCTCCTGTGACACACAGAGAGTGCTCACTGCAGAGCACTGATGTCAACCCTCCTCTGTGACTCATATAGTGAGCTTCCTGCCTCCCACAGTGACTAATCTTCCCCACATAGCTTTCTATCAAGTGCATCAAAGAAAGACATTGCCAAGTGACAGAGTGAAACTGTAATCATGGCACACACATTGCTGGGCCAGCTTTCTTTAGTGGCAAGAGGTCTGGGGACATCATCTCTACTTAGTCTCTTTGCTCCCTGGAGAAAAAAATTAGAACTGATGATGATGATGGATAGATAGTGCTGCTGCTGCTGGTGATGGTGGTGGTGATGGTTGTGGTGATGGTTGTGGTGATGGTGGTGGTGGTGGTGATTTCCGTAGAGCATATAAATTCACAGGGACAAAAGGAATAATGGGACACAGAGTCTTGGTGTGCTAGGAGGAGGGAAGGAGGAGTTGTTTGACAAGCACAAAGTTCCAATGTAGGAAAATGGAAAGTTCTGGAAAGGAATAGTGGTGAGACTTTGCAACAATGCAAAGCTACTTAAAGTCACAGAACTGTGTTCTTTAACGGTTAAAGTGGTTTGTGTTTTGTACACCCCCAGGGCTGTCCGTGTGGGGGCTGGCCTCCACAAATACCTTTTTCTTTGCCATTTAACATGGTTACCAAAGGCGGAAGGTGTTCAGTGAAACACAGGGAGCCTGACCTGAGACTGTGCACGCCTGCCAGGGGTTAGCCAGAGAAGCCGAGCTTGATGAGTGCTAGAGAAAAAAATGACATAGTCAGCGGTTAGACCTTATGCTGAACAGCAGATGGTTACCACACGGTGTTTCCCTAACACGGATCATTAGTTCTGAAAATTTACCAGCAAACTTCTATTCCATATACAAAAGCTAGGAGGCCTCTCAGAGATCCCTCGCTTGGGTATTTCCCTCATCTGCATGCATCTGTAGCAGGACCTGTGTCACTCGGAACCTCATCATCCGTGCCTGTCCTCTCTTCGGATGCTGGCCAGTCAGCCCTTCAGGTCAGGAGCTCTAGTTCACCTCCGTATGTCCAGCTCCTGTCAGATATTAGATCAAACTGCCCCCAATATATCATCATTGACACACACAAAAACGTAAAGAGAAATGGAAATTTCATGCTGGAGAGATAGCTCAGTCGGTAAAGTACTTGCCTTATAAGTTGAGGTCGTGAGTTCAATCCCCAGAGTCTATGTGGAGAAAAAAAATCTGGACATCATGACACTCAATGGTGGGTCAGCAGGCCAGCCTGGTCCATTTGGTGAGCTCCAAGCCGTTAAGAGACCCTGTCTTAAAATGTAAGGTGGGACCAGGTGGTGGTGGTGGTGCACGCCTCTAATCCCAGCACTTGGAAGGCAGAGGCAGGCAGATATCTGTGAGTTTGAAGCCAGCCTGGTCTACAAGAGCTAGTTCCAGGACAGACTCCAAAGCTACAGAGAAACCCTGTCTCGAAAAAATAAATAAATGAAATAAAATAAAATGTAAGGTGGGAATCACCTGAGGAATAACAGCCAAGACTGAGGTTGTCCTCCAACTAGACACACACACACACACACACACACTTGCACATGCACGCACACGCACATGCACATACATGCACCCACACACACAAGCACACAGTCACAAGTGCACAAACATATATGCATACACACACAGAGGCAATAAGCTCTGGTGAATGCTTGCTAAATAAAGGAATTTAGAAGACTCTTAACATCTGCAAATTCCAGCTGATGATCAAAAGAGTGATCTTCAGGTAGTCCTGCAACCTTGGGCTCCTTATCACATGCCTCTGCATTCTTCCTGTTGGCAGTGCCATGATTGATCTCCAGCAGGACAGGCACACAGCATCTGCACCACAGCCCCAGGTCTGAGGCTGTCAGAGTCTCCACCTGGAGATGAGGGGGGTAGTGGGTCAAGTGCACAGTCTCCCGCGCTGTTTCCATGTTCTCCGGGGCTGGCAGTGTCTCCATGTGGCTGACAAATGGCAGGCTCTGAGATGGAGGAGCTGAGCTTCTGAGATGGCAAGTATCCAGGACGGCTCAGAAGCAGCTGCCGAGCTCTGCTTGACTCTCAGTCCCAGCATCACAGGGTAGCAAGGAGCTGCGGAGGTGGCAGATTTCAACCATCTATCACTAGGAACCGGAAATTAGCAAAGCGACTTCTCAGTCAAGCTACGAGTCACTAAAGAAGAACTTTAAAATACAATAAGAGGAAGAAGGGAGGCAGCTGGCTACCGCCTTGTAGCAGTCGGCACCCTCGGTAGTCACACCTGCCAAGCACAGTCTTGGAATCTCTATCTGGTCTCTGTACCAGGTCTAAAGTGAAGAGTGAGAATTGGTAGGCCTGAAGGCAGAAGTCACAAAATAATCCCATGCTAGTTCAGAATTATGAATAATAAAGGGTTATTTAAGGGAGACTTACAGATCACTGTCCTAGATAATAGTCCTCTCCACAAATAGGGAACAGGAACAGAGTCCAGCAGCCGGAAGCGAGAGACAGAAGCAAGGGCACTAGCACATGCTTTACAGCTGCATTTATAGTATAAGAGACCACGTCCAAGTGGGCTGGTATCTTAAAGTCTATTGGCTGAAGGAGTAGAAGGAACTACCACAGCACTGTTATCTTAAATGCTATTGGCTGAAGGAGCCGAATGTGCTCCCATAGCAGTAGGCCCCACTAGCCAAATGTACCCAGAGCGCCATTTGAGTTGGTTGAGAGGCCTGAGTTGATGAAAGAGATAGTTCAGAACCTTCCAGAAGGACACAGCTCAAGAAGCATTTCACCCAGGAAGACATGTCTGCTAGATCCCAGCCTGGGAGTCGAGTTCTGATCCACCTTACCTACTGCTTGGTCCCAAGTTCCCCTGGCCATCCGTGGCAGTTTGAATGTAAATGACCCCCATAATCTCATAGGGAGTGGCACTGTTAGGAGATGTGACTTTGTTGGAATGGGTATGGCCTTGTTGGAGGAAGTGTGTCACTGTGGGGGTGGGCTTTGAGGATTCCTATGCTCAGAATACCACCCAGTGTGACAGTTGACTTCCTGTTGCTTTCTGATTGAGATGTAGCACTCAGCTCCAGCACCACAGCTGCCTGCATGCTGCCATGATCCCCGCCATGATGATAATGGCCTGAATCTCAGAAACTGTAAGCCGCCACCCTCAATTAAATGCTTTCCTTTGTAAGAGTTGATGTGATTGTGATTGTGATTGTGATGTGATTTCACAGCAATAAAAACCCAAACTGAGATACCATCCCTGCCCTCTCCCCATCATACCTGGTGACCTAGCTCCAGAAGGTCCACTCTTGACCCTGTCTTTCAGTCCTACCCACCAAATGGAACAGGGAAGATAAGCAAAAAAAGAGATAGTTGCTTTTTAGAGCCTGCCTCACTTCAACCTCACGCCAAGGTGCTGTGTGGTAAGGGTGGAATGACGTGGGGGAAAAAAATGGTAACTCAGAGAAGCAGGGTATCTGCCATAAGTCACAAGCTTGCTGAAGCATGATAGAGGAACCGGAACCCAGGTGTGCCACAGTCTGCGTTAATATATCTCACTGCATCTGGACTCACTTCCTGCCTTCCTCTGACTTATTTGTCTACCTCCCAGCCCTAATATTCTTTCCGGCTTCCTCCTCAACCTGTAACCCATCCTTCTACCTCCAGCACCTCCTCTCTTCCGGGCTCTACAAATATTTTCCCAGGCAAAAGACTACCTACCCAGCATTCTAGTCCACGAACAAAGAGATGGAGCCCCTGGTGATGTCTACCTCCAGCCTATGCTGCTGTAGGGAACAGCCCAGATACCTACCTCAGCAGGTCACAAGGGAGTTTCTGAGTCCCCTCCAGCCTTCGGTCTCCTTCTCTCATTAGGTATCCGTCTTGCTTAGTCTCCTCCCAGACAAGCACCCAACAAATGGGCATACTGTAGTTGCTGTCACGGGGACATTTTTCTTATCTTGTTATCTGGTGCTAGGATTTCTTTGACAGGGTAGGAGTGGTGATGGTAGTAAGTTAGTTAGGTTTCTATTGCAGTGATTAAACACCATGCCCAAAATCAGCTTGGGAAGCGTTTATTTCGGTTTACAGTTTACAGTCTGTCTTGGAAGGACGTCAAGGCAGGCACATAAGCGGGAACTGAAGTAGAAGTGGAGAAATGCTTCCTACCCGATTGCTCCCCACCGCTCGCTCAGTTTGATTTCTTACACTTCTCAGGACTGTCTGCCTAGGGACGACACTGCCCAGAGTGAATTGGACATTTCTACACCAATCACTTATTTTTATTTTTTTAAAAAATGCCCCACAGGCTTACCAAGTTGAAGGGGGAGTTTTCTCCATCAAAATTCCCTCTCCTGAGATGGTACTAGTTTGTGCCAAGTTGCCATAAAACTAACAAGCACAGGGGGAAATTTCTTGTAAATTCTCATTGGTTCAGAAGTAAAGGCCCTAATGGTTCCAAGTGGTCAGTTTTCAGAGCAT